AATTAGTTTTGGCATCGTTAATGTGTTGAATTAAGTTTGTGAATCCCCAAAGTGCAATTAAACGACTATCAAATGAGCACCCATAAGGAGAGTTTGAGAAGCGTGCGAAGAACAATAAACTAAGCCTAAGCGAGTTAACGAATCATCATCTGACGTGAATGTCTCCACTAAATCAATTCAAATGAAACAAAAAATCGATTGCCAGGCATATGGACTGGTAATTTTGTCAATCTTACAGCTTAACAAACTGAAACAAAAGTAAATAATAGAATTTATTTACAACAAGGAGAAAATCCAAAACATTGCTATGTGTATAATAGCTTTTAACTTGATTGTTAATAATTTTCATTCAGAACGTCATACCAATTAATACTTACAATGTATTTTGAAACCATATATACGAACTTCAAACTTTGTCAAATATATAATTATCCCAAAAACAATAATTCATAAATCTCTTATATATTGGTCAAAGTTGGTGTTAGTGTTTGCACGTGTGTTCATAGCCTGGCACCAGAAATATGTAGTGGCTGATCGGTCAGTTATCCACGATACTTATCGTTTTGGGACTTCACATTATGATTACATTTTATTAGCAACTGTGAAATTCTGAGACCTTCAAAATAGGAGCGGGAGGAGGGTTGATGCAAAAAAAAAAAAAAAATAAGCAAATTACCACTTTGATGAGTGTATAATTTATTTGAAAATATATCATTCCAAAATTCTTTTAATCATTAAAACAAGAGTTAGATGGGAGCTTCATGATAAATGGGGTAAGAAGGAGACTTTCCCCGTTAACCATATGTTACTAATAAAATAATTAGCAAGATTCAGGAAGATGGTATTCGAAAGGACGGGAATAGAGATGACGGGATTCTCAATATCGCAATGGAATTCCAAAAAAAAAAAATGTGATCGTAATTTTGGCAGTATTATCGATACCAAGCAACACTAAGCTAACCTGGTAGTTGTAAAATAATCAGTTTGATAATAAAACTAAAAAATTGTTGTTAAAAATTCAGAGCTTCTTCTATTATAAATCATCATACGTACAATTATAACTGAATCATGGGGCAGCCAAAGACTAGAGGAACGCCAGGTTTACAGACAGTAGTTGGGGTTCAAATTCATTTCATATAATACGTTTACTCACAAATTGTCAGTTTGAAGGTTACTTGCAATTTATTTAATTTATTTGGTGACCCAATTTAGATTTCAAACAGAATCTAGGATCAAATACAGGAATATACTATTACATTTCAAACGATGCCTAGGAACAAAATTCTGGGATCGTCATGCTCTATTTCAAACCAAGTTATAATGGACATTTTTTAATTTCCAGAAGAAGTTGTTCATTGGACTTCACAGATTATAACTTTTTCTTACTTGTATAAACCATACAAAAAAACATTGATTTGCAGCTGATATAATCTCAACGATGGTGAGGATGCGTTACGTGGCGTTTAGTGATTACGTCTCATTGAAGTTGATTGAGAAATTATCTGCCGATAAACACGATGACGCACATTTTAAGCCTCTACTGGCTCCGAATTCGCCTTTGAGGTCACAGCAGCAGACAAAGCAGTTGCCTCTGCTGCCTCAGCACCAGCATAAAGTTTTTACTCAGTCGCAGTTCTCCACGCTCAAGTCTCGAGTATCTCGAGAGCGCCAAACGCTGGCAAGAAAAGGAGTCTCATTCGTTGGGAGCTTTGCAAGGCTCTTCCGTCGAAGTTCTAGGCGCCACAAAAACCATCAGGTTCGTTTCAATGCCTAACTTTTCATGATCAATTTTATAATTATAACCCATATTATTCTTTATTAAAAGGTAATGAAAATGATTGAAATATTAATATAATAATAGTAATACAGTAAACAAATAGTAATAATAAAATATTATAATGATTCTTACTATTATTATATTAATAATAAGAATGATACGCGTATTATCAGTTTCAGCGTTCGTCGGGTCGTTAGGCCTGTTGCTTCAGAACATCGCAGAACATTCACAGCTTGTTGCGGGTCTCGAACAAACAACTAGCTGCTTCAATTTTGTGTTACCTAACTGCTAGCCTCTTCGCCGATTTGACCAGGAACTGTCCCAGGAAGCTGGGACGCTGGGATCGTAACCGATCCCTCCTGCACCAATCTTGGGACTTTGAATTGTACACACTTTCTCTGTATAATGCATGCTTCTTTCAAGAAATTTGTCTTTGTGTTGCGAGTATTTATGCACAAAGAGCTTCTGCGTATTTGCATCACTATTCTCATCTATCTAAAACCCAAACAACTAAAATACTTGAATTAATTTTGCAACAAATTCGCATTTTTTCTACGACTAATCATGTAATATGTAATTTTTGACATTAACAACATGAAATTTTTCGGAGTGATGGCATTAATTGCCCAAGGCAGAGCCCTATAGAATTTATGAGTTTTATTAATTTAATAAAAATTTAATTTTTTGTCATCAGGTATGAGTACGACTGATCTTCATGGCAATCTTTTTTGTTGGACAAAAGTAAATAGGTCTACCCTCCGATCGAGACACACCGAATAGAAAACGAAATATTTCATAGAAAGTATTTCCTGGCATGCTATCTCATTTCGATTATAAATAAATGGCGGTCATGAAATGGGTTCCGAACCTTCGTTATTCACGTTTACATAATTAAGAATTGACAGCATTTATATAGAGCATAAACAGACACTAGACTGTATTAGTAAGAAGTCGATATGGTATTATTGCAGATTAACTACATCCAAAAAAAAGGGTGTTTTTTTTTTGAATTATATGTTTTTTGGGGTGTAGATTACGAATCTGAAATCCATTTTTGGCGGTCGGCATCGGAAAACCGATTTTTTTCGCGACTTACTAACATGGGGGTTACGTAACTTACAATTATCTACTTATATTTCAAATTTGAAGAAAATCCGTCCATTATTGACGGAGTTATGCGTGCCAGAGTTGAAAATTAAGTTAGGTTTTCCATTCGAGCTCGCAGGCGAGTTCGCACGCGAGTTCGCTGAAGTGTCGGACCGGTCTATTTTTTTAAAACATTCAAGCGAAAACTTGCGAATTTTTTTAAGGACATTAATGGCGAATCTGAGGGAATTTTGAGTTTAGAATATGATCTCTCATTTTCATTTCCTTGCTGGCCGAATTGAATGAAGTATGACTCGAGAAAGCGAATAAATGTTTTTAGTTTCATGATCCATTTTTAGGCTAAGAATTTATAACTGACACATGCCGTTCATGGATGAAGCACCAGCAAATCGCGACATTTATCCGCGTAACTTCAAAAATGCGCAGAACGGCCGCGACTTTTGTAAAAGCGCGAGTCAACCTTTCAGTTCAATTTCCTATTGGACAAGACGGTTGCCGAACGTTTAGGCTCTGATATTGTTTACGTGCAGTTTACAAGCGGGACATCGTTTGATTGTTAGCGTATGAATGTTCCTCGTTAAAATTAAGTAACTAGTGATCTGAAAAATTGATGTGAATTAGTCTCCTTTTAAATAACGCAAAAAAAGTTGAATTGGCTACTCATAGTTTTCAATGAAGACTGTTTAGCGTATATGACGATAACTAAATGCTTAGCCTTCTTATGGGTCGACTTTCAAATTTATTTGCAAGCTTATCAATGTATGATAATCTTCTGAAATCATGTATTAATGCTAAATTGCTGCCTTAAGGTAAATAAAACCAACTGGCATTGTAGCTGTCAGAGAAATGCACGCTCTATTCACTATTGGCGAAGCTTCTTTCAGAAGGCCTGTGATGACCGCATTCCTGGCGCAATGTTCCTCTTGTACTTACAAAAGGCAATGAACTAGTTAGAATTTTCTACCATCAAAAACGGGCATTTGGTTTTACAAAATACTCAGTTAATTTATCACATTTGCAATGCATTAAAAAATTATGGAAGAAATTTGAAATTCCGTTCCATTATCGAATCGAGTAACAATTTCGTGGTAAGGTAAAGTTCATGATAACTGTAACACTCTAAACTAACTTCAATGTAGTCATTTGTAGTGGTAAGCAAGCAATGCGGAAAAGATAGCGAATTAAATGATACCATACTACTCCGAATAGCTAACTTTTAATTAAACCGTGGAATGCGATTCACATTCGTCGGGCGTGATCACGATTTTTCAACTTGAAACCCAAATCATTTTGGTGTACTAGAGTGGCACCTGCATCGTCATGCAGTGTAACAGGCAAACACGCATAGCCTCATAATGAAGCGCTTGCTTGGTCAGCTGCATAATCTCAGCACCACCTGACAATTTCACTTCTATTCTGACCAGTGACCGCTGCCAGTCAGTTCACGCATGACCAGCAATGAAAGCTACGTATCAGGAGATAGAAGCAGGCAATGCAGCTGCATGTAAGTTATCGCTAGGAGCAAGTTAATTATTCCATTGAAGAATTGTTACCTCATTTTATTGAAATTACGGTGTAAAAAATGTCAAAATGATGTATTTTAAAAGCAAGGTGAACCGACTTTTGCTGCTTGTTGTGGTTTCTTGTTTCTTTCGCAGTCGAAAAAGCAGATGTAGATAGACGTCGTTTGATTAACTTCTTGGAAGCAATATGAATAATATGTTCATCTGTCCGAAGCAATGAAATTCCTATGAAATAAATTCAGTTTATCAATTGTCTGTGAAAAATTTCTTTCAATTGTCTGACCGAGCGTCTTAATTAATTAATAGCAAAATCTCTCATTTCATCCATCGACAACCAATACAATGTTGACACTGCCATAACGGCATAAGATAAGTGATCTTTCCGGCAAACTAATGTGGAAGCGCTGCAGTCTACTACCGGTAGAGAACAGTTATGTTGGTGCGCGCAACTGCAGCAAATACCTATTTATTTCTAGGGCTATTAAAACTAATTATTATCAGATAAAGTAACATCACCAACGTTTTTGAGACGAGGTTCGTCAGTCAATGACGTATCAGTAACGTTATTAAAATGAACATTTGTTTTGTGACAGCTATACGACCGCATCCACAGCGTCGGCGTCACGGCCAACAAGCAGGACGTGGTGCCAGTGGCACGAGAAGTCGCTGAGATGCTCGCCGAGCTGGACCACACACCCTACTTGGAGGTGGACGAGCTCAGGGAGCTGCTCAGTGCACCACACTTCAGGGTGAGTACTATTGACCCTTGTTTCACTGAACAAACTGAAGATTACGATTAGGCATGTGATTATTCTCTGATGCACGGGATCAAATTAACTTTCATTTAGAGCGTCCAAGGAGCTTTTCATGCAGCATGATCAACTTGCCCTGTTAGATGCGTCTTACCAACCCCATTAAAAAGTTTTTTTTTAATTTTCAATACGATTATCTTCATTCAATAATATAATTTCAAGATAGATTTATTTTTGATCGCCACGCTGCTTTGATCAACAAGCAGACCAGTCTGGCTTTCCAGTTGCAGTTAGGACGCGTTAGTTCCAGTCATAGTTTATATCAGCTTAGGATCGTACAACTCTCGTAAATTCTGTGCAGCCGCGCTGCTCATGTGGCATGGCTTTGAAAATTGCGCTACCAGACGGTGAGCGCTTGCTTCCCACCCGTGCTATTAAGATCTATAACTGTGCGGCCGAACTTATTTATGTCGTTTCACATTTAAAAATTTGCAGGTAGTTACGCGTTTGTCCCAATTTTATTTTAAGAGGTAATGACAAAAATTTTCATTAACGAAAATTCGGTAATTATAAAAGCTACATGATAAAGTTGCAAACTTCAAAGTTGGTGCGTGAATATAAAAATTGCATTCTCATCATCCAAATTGGTCTTTTAGGGTCACGAGTTCATTTGTTACCTAGTTAAAAAATAAGAATTTAATTCATCTGTATCATCAGTTGTCTTCAATCACTGGGAAAATAACGAGCGTTCTGACCATGGATTAGGATTACGACGTTTAATTAAGCCAAAATAAAAATTTAATCTTGAAAATAAGCATAGGGAGAGAAAGTTATCCAGGCTGTAATAAAATGCCATTTTTCCGGGTCGAAATTTGTGTTTAGTCCCAAGGTTTAAAGGGGAAATGAATATATTCCGCGTACCACCGATAGGATTCAAAGTTCGGCTCGTTCTTATCCTACAGAGGTAGCTTGGACCATGGTTGAATTACCACGGCTTGTCTGTTCCTGCTCAAAGATACACCTCGGGTTTCTTCATTCTCTTTGAAAATGAATGTTTGTTATGTAGATTATTACAGCATTACTATTGTCCGCAAATTATCGTTGATGTCGGTAAGTGAGGAATCGAGGAGATTGTGGTTATGTTGCATGCTTCCTTAGTTGAAAGCTATGGAGAAAAAAAATTGTGATTCTCCCTTATCAGTGAAAAGCTCAAGTGGAGTGTACCGTGGCAGTATGTAATTCCAAGCCGACCAAGCGTTGATTCCCAACGTGGTGGAGAAGGCAGTGATTTTGGGAACGCGAGGTTGCGGAGCACAGCTGGTCTTCTGCTGGGTCGGTGCCGCTGGAGCAGCCAGTGTGGCCTGTGCGGTCAATGGAGGTGGATGTGTGTTGCTTGTTAGCAGTATTCTTAAGTCTTGGAAGATTGTGTGTGGTCTTTACCGGTCTCGACGAGCCCAATATGGACGTAATGACATTTCCGTCGACCAGTTAACTCTGGGTGTTCGTTCATTTTTGGTCATAATTCGTGTGTTACTAATTGGCTGCCGAAGTTGACGCAATTTTTGATTGTTGTTGAAATGACGAGCTCTGTTCAGTGGTCTTAGTGCCGTTAATGATGAACTTAGCCACATCAAAGATGGGTGAACGTCACGTTGATTTCATTTCAACCGCGATTTGATAGGGCAGGCGTAACTATTGTGTTGGCTCATGCATCAAATTAAGAGATTGCTCCTTCATTGCGTAATAGTTTCACGAGAAACTAAGAACTGTTTGTGGTCAAGTCTGCATGACTTGATTTTACCGGGACGAAAGGGTGAGCTGGGCGTATTCACTGCTCCAGCTCACTCGGTGACCGCGAAGTGATGAGTTGTGATACGAGTTGGTGCCGGTCTTATGTTGCGGCTACGCGGCTGTGTAGCGTGGATGCCGCTCATGCCGGTTGGTGATAATGTGTATTATGGCTGCTAACGTTGTGGATGCCGGGTTTTGACGATGGATGCTACAAGAGTAAGAATAATACCAGCCTGCGGCCCTGCGTTGTGGATGCTTCGAGCGTACGGAAACTACGGTGTGGATGTCTGGATGAATGCCGGTTACAGACGTGATAGATACTTGGTTCCCAAATTATGTATGGATGATGGGTGCAGACTGTGATTTAGCATGATGCTGAGTGCTGACGTTGAAACTTGTTGCGGTTCTCAAATTTTGGTACACATACCACTATTGGCACACAAAGTCATTGATTTATATAGGTATTTAATCTTACGGGGTGTAATGTATCTTTCACAAAAATGTTTGCTTAAGATAATATCAGTAATACTTGAAAACTGAAGACGCCGAAGTCGCTGAAGTGGGGAACGAATGATCAATGGAATGCCGCGGCTAAAGGAACTCCGCGAATTTAGAAAGGAGTAAAGTAACCGTTTTGATTATCCTATGTTAAAAAAAAGTTTAAATTAAGCACTGAAACTACGCATATCTCCTCTCTGCGTTCTACAAAAAATTGAAGAAATTTGTATATAAAAAATTCTTTAAACGAGATTATACCCATTTTTACAAGATTGAACTTATAGCCTCATCTTGGTTTGAAGGTTCGAATCTTATGACCACAAAATAATCTAATACAGATAGTGCGAAGTCTTTAAAATGAGTTGAATCAATCACTTTTTAATTTAAATCACCTCTCAGCATTCGTCAATAAAACTTAGCACTCACTAATGACTAATAGTGCTTGAAGTTTCAATGAACGCGTACGGTTTAAGAGGTTCAATGCTTATATCTCGAAAAATATTCATCGCAGAGAGAGCAGAGCGATGAAAGAAGGCGAATCAATCACTGGTTCAATGTAAATCGCACTCCACACTCGGCAATAGCATTAAGCACTCGCTAACAGTGCTTAAAGCAAAAATGACCGCGTACGATTCATGAGGTTCAACGCTTATATCTCAGAATATATTCAACGCAGAGAGTGCGGAGTTTAACCTACTTGAAACGTTTGCGGTCATGGAGCTGTAGGCTCTATTAGCGAAGGCTAAGTGTTCATTTCAAGTGCGGAGTGGTGATTTACATTGAATAAGTGATTGATTCACCTTATTTCATCACTCCGCACTTTCTGTGTGGCTTCAGCGTGTGTTGATGTAGGTGCAGTGATTTGATGTAGGTGCAGTGTGTTGATGTAGGTGCAGTGTGTTGATGTAGGTGCAGTGTGTTGATGTAGGTGCTGTGTGTTGATGTAGGTGCAGTGTGTTAATGAAGGTGCAGTGTGTTGATGTAGTTGCAATTGCAGTGTACTAATGTAGTTGCTGTGTGTTGTTGCAGCTCGAGAATCGCTTAACGACTGCTAATAATTTTTGCATTTCTTATTTTATGTCTAAGCAAGATTTCGGCTCGCTATTTAGAAAATAACTTGAGTAAAATTTGATTTCCTTTATTTGATTCTCTCCAACTCTCACTTCTATGGTTTTCTTTTACTTTTTCGGCAGTTTTTTACTCGATTGTTCTTCACATCGTTTATTGATTTCATTGTAAATGATTTATTCCTGTTGGAAAAAGCAACGCGGGCATGAAGTATCACGTTCTTGACATGAACAGTCGAGCGCAGAAAAGATCAGCAAACATAGTTTTGATTCGTTCCATTCTTTGCTAAGCTCGAGCATGCAACGAGTGTGCAGCCACATGACGTTAGCGGGAACTCGTGAGCTCGAGCGTTGTACTGATACACTGTATCAGCTTACGCACCAACGTCCCATCTAATTTACCTCGTGCACCGCATTGCCTTTATACTTTGCTCTTGTTCTCTGTTAGGGAGACAGACAGTATCATGTTTAATGTTTTTTTTGCAATCCTACGACCGATGGCTAAAAGTTGTACATGTTACAAGTTCGAGGCCTTGCATATAATATCTTAGTCCGACAGGTGGACAAAAGACGAAGTTGGACACGTGTCACGATATTATATGCCTTGCATATAAGGTTTTTCCATTATTGGGTGAACAGGGGTACGGTGAAACAACTTGATTATTACATGGCAAATGTAATATTTGTTCGTACTTTCGCTGTCTTTCACTTTCAATTCCTTTCAACCCTTCACTCTACAAAAAAAAAATAATAAAATAACTTCGTATTTCCTGAATTCCGATCCGCCTTACAATCCGTTTGCTGTCGAATTTCTTGACATGGATGAGTGATTGCTCTAGATCTTCGATTTGCAGTTCTTAATTGGCTATTAGCTGCATGCTATTCCCTCTCGTGATGATCAATGCAAATGTCATTATTCCGTGTATGCAGACTGCTTTTCTGGCTTCAGTTCGGGAGTGCCGTGCCATCAGCCTGTTAAGTGGTCAAATAAATTCGTTGTACCGATTCAATGTACCTGAGGACGGGGAGGCGCTTCTACGCATGCAATTATTTGATCTTTCTTCTCGGTAATTTCTTAACTTTCTCACACTAATTTTAATTTTCGTTTAGTTAAGTTGATATATGACTTGAACCGAGGTATTTGCGTAAAAAAAAGTTGGAAATATCATATATGAAGCATTATTAAATCTTACCATGCGAGGTTATGTGTTTGCTGACGTTGAGCGAATGAACCAGTAATGCATGGGGTTTATAATATCAATAAAATTGATACTAAAACCCCATCGAGTTTCTTGGAACAAAATAAAAATTTTCAAGTGGACATAATATATTAAATTTAAATGATAGATAAGTGCATTTTGTTGACACGAATTGGCGGAGGTTTTTTGTCGGTAGACAAACAAACTCGTTAAACTCGTAAATAAGACAAATGGAAAGTCGTAAAATTTTTTAGTAACACCAGGAAAATCAGGCTTCTACGCAGGCTCTAGTTCTTATTCATAAGCCAAGTCAATAAGATTATTTCTGATCTGGCTTTCGACGACCAGGGCTAGTATACACCGCAACTTCACTGACCATGCATTCATTTCCTGAATAGCCTGACACTGTGTACAGAGCTTCATTGTGTTGTGCCTATTGTTG